TTTTTATTAGATGTCAGTTATAATCATCAACATTAAAAGAAATAAGCATTTGAAATATATCTGTCTGTGTGTAATGAATGAATATAATATACAAGTTTCACTTTTTGAATGGAATTACTGAAATAAATGAACTTTTTTCATGATATTTTAATTTTATGACCAGCACCTGTACACAGACAATAGAAGCAGATAATGACACTTCTGAAAAAAAAAACAAGTTGCTTGTGTTCCTAATGAGGTAAAGAAAAAATGTACAATTTAAAACTTTCTACGAGCTTTTTTGACTAGAAGGTACAGTTGGAATCAAGACTGTATGAGCGTGTGTTTGTGTTTCACCTTCTCATCCAGGTCGTCTTCACTGTCATAAAACTCTTGTTTCACTAAGGCCTCTGGCCTGTCTCTTAATCTTAACAAGTGTGAACTGTTGTCAGTGAATAATTGCACACACTCCTCTATTTGTGGCATCCCTGTCAAAGATTCTGTAACATACCTGGGTATCAGTATCATTAAGAATAGTAAAAACAGAAATATTGCTAATTTCACTCCTGTCCTTGAAAAGTCAAAAAAGGTTTTTAACATTTGTCTACAAAGGGATCTGTCCCTGAGAGGTAGAGTCCTGCTCACTAAAACAGAAGGATTGTCCCGTCTGGCCTGTACTGCCCAGTCTCTTTATGTTGATAAATCAGTTTGTAAATCTGACGACTGAACGCTCTCCGACTTCTTGTGGAAAAACAAAACACATTATTTGCGTAAATCTGTCGTCTTAAACAATGATAAGTCTGGTGGGCTACATTTGATTAACTTTGACTCCTTTAATAACACTTTTAAAATAAAATGGATCAAAAATTATCTTAAAAACCCAAAGTCTATCTGGAACTTCATTTCACAGCATGTCTTTTCACATTTAGGCGGTTTAGAGTTTGTTCTCCTTTGTAAATACAGTATTCCCAAAATACCCACTAAGCTTTCCAACTTCCACCAACAGGTACTTTTAGCTTGGTCCCTTATCCATAAACATAATTTTTCTCTGCAGAGATGTTACATCTGGAACAACTCTAACATAATATTCAGAAACAGGTCGTTATTTTATCGGAAATGGTTTAACTATGGTATTATTCAAGTTAATCAGCTATTTAATAACAAAGGTCTTCTTTATAGCTATGAAGAGTTTCTTACTCAGTACAAAGTTCCTGTCGCTCCAAGAGAATATAGTATTGTCTTTGATGCTCTCCCATCTGGTTTGCTCATGTTGTTTAAAGATGTTGACTTCTCTTCTATCCAGTCTATGAGTCCTCCTGACCCTAAGCAGTCTGCTGTTGGTACGTTCTGTTTCTCAGTTCAACTAAAAGGCGTCAGTTCCAAAATCCGTTCTTTATTTCAAGAAAATCTGGTTTCATTTCCATCTTGTGTTTCCTATTGGAACACCTTTGTGCAGAATCTTAATTGGAAAAAAGTTTGGTCTCTCCCACATTTTTCTCCCCCCTCACTAGTAAAGTCAAAGAAGTTTATTTTAAATTAATTCATAAATTTCATCCAACCAAACACTTTTTTCAGAAATACAAAGCTGATATTGATATTTCGTGTTCATTCTGTAAGCTTTATCCAGAAACATCTGTTCATCTTTTTTGGAAGTGTACATACTCACAGAACTTTTGGAAGGACATTGTTGCTCTGATATCCAATAATATCCAACCAGGTTTCCTTCTCTGTTTTGAAAATGTTCTGTTTGGTATCCTAGATTTCAAGACGAAAGACTCCTCTCACGTCTTTATGATCAATCTGATCTTGTTTCTTACTAAGTTCCATATCCATAAAAGTAAAATAACGCATAGGAAACCTTTTTTTGTTCTCTTTGTAATGGATGTAAAACTGCATCTTGACTCGGTCTCAGACTCAAATAACAAAAAGGCTATAAAAACAAAAAATATCAGTAATGAATACAACTTAACTTTGTAACTCGCATTTATTTATCTTTGTAGTTTTTATTTTTATTTAATTTTTTATTATTTTTGTTTGCTTCCTTTTTTCTTCTTTCTTTGATATGTTCTTCAATGTGTATTTTTTAGATTGTTTTATTTGAAGTAAACTTGTAAATAAAGATTTCATTCAACCTTTATTTCGACAGGTAATCCCATTGAGCCTCGAGGACTCATTTACAAGAGAGACCTGATTTCAACAAAGAAAGATGACAACAATGGACAACAGCAACAACAATAAACATTTATAAAAAGTCATACTGCAGTTTTTTTTTTGTTTTTTTTTTTTACAAATAGGATGGCTAAAAGAAAAAGGTAACAAAAAAACAGCTAGATTCTAAGGCGAACGTAGAAAACTAAAAACAGGAACATGTCTGCATTGGTCCCTGCCAGGAGTCCAACAGATTCTTAAAGCCACTTAGAGAGGTCAAGGTCGAGAGCTTCAAATCTTTTTGTAAGATATTCCAGGAAACAGGAGCGGAGTAGGAGAAGGCCCTTTTGCCTAGTTCAGTCCTCATTGAGGGAACACTGCAGGTAATAATGTTCTGAGAGCGCACGCTGTAGCTGCACTCACACAGAGACATGTAGGAGGAGATGTATGAAGGCAGCAGACCAAGAAGTGATTTAAAGATGAAAATGTACCAGTGAGAGAGCCTGCGTGAAGTTAATGATGTCCAGTTAACCAGTGAATACAGGGTGCAGTGGTGGGTACGATAATCACAGCCAGTTATGAATCTTAGTGCACCATGATAGACAGCATCCAACATCTGCAGGGTTCTTGTAGGAGCGTTCATGTAAATAATGTCACCGTAATCAATGGAGGGAAGGAAAGTCACAGATACAAGGCGTTTTCTAGCATTCAGGGTTAGACAGGATCTGCTTCTGAAAAAGAAACCCAGTTTAACTTTCAGTTTCTTTATCAAGTTTTCCACATGGAGCTTAAAAGAGAGATGTGAGTCAACCAAGATACCCAAATATTTACAGGAATCAACAAACTCAATGGGGACACCGTTTGAGGATAAAATCGGAGGAAGAACTGCTGGGACCAACTTCCTATTTGAAAAAAGCATCCCTTTGGTTTTGTCGGCAAGTTTGAGGTGAACAAATCTGTGTCTGGATGATGTTGAATGCAGATTTCAAAAGCTGGAAAGCCTTAGCAACAGTTTTAGCTCGGCAATAAACAACTGTGTCATCAGCATAGAAATGTATGGATGCATTAGGGATGTTTTTACCTACATTATGTATGTAGATTGTAAAGAGGGTGGGTCCTAAGACTGAGCCTTGTGGTACACCATTGTTGACTGTTAAATAACTGGAGGAAGTACCATTATGTTGAACACATTGCCTCTGGTCTGAGAGATAGTTAGAGAACCAACCAATAGTGTGTTCTGAGAAACCGATTTCTGAGAGTTTATGACACAAGATGTTATGATCCACAGTGTCAAAAGCTTTAGACAGGTCTAAGAAAAGTGCAGCACAATAATCCTTAGCATCCAGTGCTTCAACAACGTCATTAAGAACCTTCAGTGAAGCAGTGGTTGTGCTGTGTTGTTTCCTGAAACCAGATTGATGTGGAGGTAAGATGTTAAATGAGTCCAGGTAATTTTTGATTTGAGAGTTCATCAGTTTTTCTAGAACCTTGGCTAAAATGCAGAGTTTAGAGATTGGTCAATAGTTGTTCAGTGAGGTGGGGTCACCTCCTTTGTTTTATTAGAAGTGGTAGCCATCTTGAATCAGGTTAATTTCTAAAGTTAATCAGTTATAGAAATACACTAGTTGGTTGACTTTGTTGAGTTTGCTAAGCATTCATTCACTGGGTTTTGAAACATTTTGCTAACAGAAGGTTGACTCAAACAATAAATACAAATATTTTAAATGAATATCTCACACAATCTGTTAATGTTTAATGTTTTTCATGACCATCAGCTACAACAATACCAAATTTCACTTCTTCTTCTTCTTCTTTCGGCTTTTCCCTCTGCAGGGGTCTCCACAGCGAGTCATCCTCCTCCACCTCACTCTGTCCTCTGCATCCTCTGTCCTCACTCCAACTACCTTCATGTCCTCTCTAACTGCATCCATATATCTCCTCTTTGTCCTTCCTCTTTGTCACTTTCATTAAAAATTAAAAATAACAGATTTATTTTTGCTGAAGTTGATTAGCTGTGGCGGCCACTATAAATCAGGCTAGCTCCATAAATTAATCAGATGTAGAGGTGCATCCCTTAATTAATTTCTGGGACTTTCCAACAAAATTCAGTCAGGTCATCTGGATGGTTTCTTTTTTGTTGTTGTTGAGACGTTTCATCCTTCATCCAAAGAACTTCATCAGTCCGAGGAGCCACAACAAACTCAGTCCCACAAGCAGCACACTCACATAGTGGACCAACCAGTTTGCTGGTGATAAGATGGTCCCCCCCACCCCCCCACCCCCCCTCTCTTCCGTCGACTCCTCTGAGGCAGCCATAGCCAAAGTGGTTCATGCTCAACTGGGACTTTCATTAAAATTTATCCAGTGGTTCACAAGATATTTTGCTAACAGACACAAACACATGAGCTCCTGCCTTTCATGGCTGTAATTTACAATGAAACAAACTCTAATTTAGCATAAACTGAATTTTTATGAGCAATAGGAATGTTTAGGGCTGCAGATGATGCAGAAACAAACTGCAGTTTAACAGAAAACATTTTCTCTAATTCATGCACAGTATGTCCCTAAATACAGACCATTCAGTGCAAGCTGTGCAAATCTAGCTTTGTGTTAGGTTGGTAATTATCCTCATCATTCATAAAAACAACTGAGAGCGCTGACACAAACATGACAGCCATAAAAATAAAAAACTAAAGAGAAAATCTTCAAACGTTCCAACACAACTCTTGTTGTTTTTCTTCTTCTCCTATTAACACATGCAGAGCATCATAGCTACGGTTTTTCCGGACTCAGGGATGTAAAGTACCGACACTTTCTGGAGGCGTCCCGGCCCGTCGGACACGCCGCCAACGTGAGAGCGGAGCAGGATGGACGTCGGGTCAAGAGGTCATCGCTCTTCTCGACGGGAGTCAAAGTGTGCCCCCAGGACACGGTGAAGGCCGTGATCGGCAGCCACCGGGCCTTTTACAAACTCCGAGGTGCGCTCACAACAAACAGGCTTTCAGGTTTTCTGCAACGCTCTTTCAGTTTTATATTGAACTGCACGTGTCACGCCACTAAAAGGTGTTTGAGATGGATGATGGTTGCTCGTTTCAAATC